AGAGAGAGAGAGAGAGAGAGACTGACTCCACGATTTCCGATCCGTTCGTGCGCGATGGTTGCGGCGATGACGGCGGTGGCGGTGAATCGAAGATTTCAATTTCGAGACGTTGATAGAATGAATCGCGGTGCGACAATCATATAAAAGTAATACGGAGAACGCTGGTTGAAATAGCACTCGCGAAAATTAAGATTTTGATTGGAATCCGAGTTATTCGAAATAAAATAATAATAACCTCCGAGTAAATTAACAATACTTCGAAATAACAGTTCCTTTTTTAATTAAAACAGAAAAAAAACAACAGTGATAATCTTCGTTCGGTTCATTCGTTCTTCCATCACGGAAAGCTTCTGTATGCTCAAAGTAACATGTTGGTAAAACGAATCGCGTGTGTTCTGTTATGTGGAGTAATATAAAAAAAAATAACAGAGTAAAATATTGTTACAAAAATACACATTCCAATCAAGATTCAGTGCGAGGTAATGGCGCTCTCCCCGTTGAGTCAACAATAGCTCTAGAATAACGCTTTCATCGTCCGCGATAATTCGCAACGTTGCGAAAATATTTGTGTTTAAATGAAGTGGTTCGTGTCATTAGGGTAATCAGGTTAGTCTACGTAATAAAGCAGAGTGGATTTGTGTAATCGAGAGAACGCTCCTCGTATTTCTCGAAACAGCGGTTAAGTAGAGGAGATGCAATTAAGTGCGAAGCGGCAGCTTGGCTCGTTCGGGCGCGGAACGTTTTTGCCTCGCGAGGGAGGAAGAGGGAGGAAGAGGGAAGGGACCTTGGCATCACTCACGTTTTTCTTCTGCCCCTTCAGCTGCTTCGAGGATTTCCACCAGGTCAGAACTGCCGGCGGCTTCGAGCCGGTGCTCTGACATTTCACGTCATATGTCTTCCCTGCCGATAGGATCTGGTCCTTCCCCAAAATCTCCACCTTGAGCGGCTTCACTGCAAGAACCCGTCATTATGAACTCACTCGATATCGCCGAAATATAAACATAAAAAAAATAAACATATTAGTAAAAAAAATTCGCAAAGCATGCAATTTTCTTTTCTTACATCGACAGTTTTGATTATCATAATAGAATTTTGAATCAAAAAGGTATATATTAAATATATTGTAGCAAATATAAAAGAAGATTTTGTTTAAAGTTTTAATCTTAATAAAGAATTTTTAGCCAGAAAGAGTTATACGTGATGTTAAACTTTAAAAGTTAAGAATTAAACAACTTATTTTTTTGTCTATTCAAATTTATGAATAACATTAACCTTATCATCTCAAAAATATGTTTTCATTTACTTTGCTATACACCATGTTGAAATAAATAGACAGTGTACCTTTTCTCTACCTATGTCAATAATCCAATTATTTTTATAAAATAATTTACTGTGCCCAACAAGAAAAGCATTTCAATGGCAATCACGTACGGGTCATAAGCGCGACTTCGCATGGACGCTCGCTTTTCTGATTTCCACTCCACCTCGATCTCCACTTCCGTCGCTTTCCGGGATACGACATTTTTTGCAACGTGCGGTAGCGCATAACGAAGGACGCGGTCCGGCGAACGTAAAAAAAAAGAAAAGAAAGAGAGAGAGAGAGAGAGAGAAGCGGAACGCAGAGAACGCGCGAAAGAAACGCCGGGATAATTAGAATTCAGTTCGCTCGCGAATTTCATGCCGGGCTCCTTTTCTGTCCGACATTCTCCGTGGAAGTTCCCGACTAATGGGAAAAAAGAAAATGCAGATCGATGTCGACGATGAAGGATAGAGGAAGGCGGACAGATCGAGAAAAAATGGAGCGATATGGAAGTAGTGAACGGAGGTGAAAGGAATCGGGATGAGAGAATGGTCTGTATAATTGGTACTCGTCATGAAAAGCCGCCGAAAACAAAGGCTGCCGAGAGAACTGCCGGGTGCGAAACTCCCGAGTAAAGTTGAGATTTCATTTGCAAATCAAAATTCATGTCGTCAGATGCGCAGACGAGATGGCGCGAAGAATTCGACGAGGCTTTTAGTATCCTTCCTAAAACGAGCGAGGATGTCGCTTCCTTTCATCGTTTTACTTTTCTTCTACATACATCCTACTCTCTAACTTAGTCAACTTTCTGAGTTAGCGCAGCTAACTTGAAAACCTTATGATCTCAAAGAATCATTCGTATGTACATATTAATTAATTTAATATGTACGTTATATTATTAATATAAATGTAGTATTTGGTTTAAAAAAGTTTGAAATTTAAAAAGATATAATTTAAAATTATTTAAAAATCCTCCATTTGAATGAGGATGCTTTTATCTTAATAGAATTTTTAAAAAATTTAAATTTTATTATCAAAATAATTACGTTAAAAGTTAAAAGTTTGTGGAAAACAAAAATATTTATTTTAAAAATTTACTTTAAGATATTTTATACTTCAAGATATTTTATTATAATATCAGTACAAAACTACCATTTTACTATCAGTACAAAACCACCACAAAAAGATAAAAAATAGCATCAAATATGCGCGCCCAATTTTGTCTTAAAAAATTTAATTTTATTAAAAATAAAATTAATATATCATTTAAAGTTATTATTCATTATCGCTCAAGTTAAAAGAAATTATATAATGTACATATTTCTTAATTTTTTACATATCCTATATTCATATTAAATATTGCGAGTATACATAATACTGAATATTTATACAACATCTATGCGTAATTGCATATTCAAAGAATACCCATACGATATATCATTGTTCGTATATTTTCCAGATATATTTAAGAAAAAAATCTCTTTGTTACATTACTATTTGAAGTTTCTTCAAAAACCTAAATTTCATTTCTTAATCTCTCGCGTCTTTTGACTCTTTATTTCCTTTCTTTCCATTTGCACAATTTTCACGAATCCCCTTTCGCGAACTTGTATTCCCAATCAAACGCCCTTTCACAAATGGAAGCGCAAACCCGAAGACTTTCGTCGCTTCCTCGGGAGCTTTAATGAGCCGCTATTATTATTCGCGCGCATGAAGTGGCTTTAATCGAGTTACGAAGCGGTTCAATAAGGCGCGCTTCGTTCTAGACGCGCGAGACGTTCGCGCGTTTATCGTATGACTTCTGAAAGGAGAGTTCGAGGAGGCGTTTTATCCGCCAGTAGACGCCACGAGAATAACGCCTAAGTGTGGTGCTTAAGGCTTAAGAGGTTCACAAGGATCTTCGAGAACGTTTTCCGTGAGCAGAGATAGAAATTAAGTAAAATTTCCAAAAACGCACACTTGACAAGCGTGAAATGACATTAGGAAGCAAAAAGCCAACACAGTTAATTGATACAATTAAGTGAGTTTAATGAACGTTACAGAAATCTTAAGAAAAAGGAGAAGATGTTAACTTAACTTTGTTTTTAAGTCTATGATAAAGATTGGATAGGTGATCAGTTTAAAAATTATGTTAAAGTTAATCCTCGCGCGCCTGAAACTTCATACTTACTCTGAGGAAAAAGTTAACTAAACTCTTTTCAGATAGTTGTAGCTTCCTCAATGACTGAAGATCAGTAAGAGAAATCGATTTATCTGTTTAAAAATGAACTTTGAATTTTATTTTGAAGAGAGTTAAGAGAAGAAGGAAACAATTCTCTCGCGAAACAGTATTAAAAAATTAAATATTAAAAACAAAATCTGTTTAATCTGTTTATCTGTTAATATCTGATCTGATGTAATTAAAAATTTTAAATAAAATTGTAAATTCTCTAAATAATAATATATAAATGCATTTTAATTTATTATAAATTATTTAGATTGGCCTTTCACGAGCAAAATTAACGTCTTCACAAAAACGAGACAAAATAATTAAATTTTTAATAATTTTCATACGATATTTAACGACAAAATAATTTTTGTAAATGCGGTAATTAATATAAAAAAAATGTATAATTCTGTGCAAGTTAAATGTACTTACATCAGTTTCAATTTTCAGTCTTAAAATGGGTCACGCAAAGTAGCGAAAAAAGGTAAAGGAGAAAATGACGGAATTAGAGTGTACAGACGGGGAAGGGGGAGGGGGGAAGGGCTGGTCGTTAGGAGTGGTTCGTTTGTAGGTTGAAGTTCGAGTTGTTCGAGAACATCTAAACATTAGGGGAGTTTCACATTTAGGTTCGTACGCGCCGATCCCGCGAATCGCCGGCTTAAGTGAAATTTCGCCGAGACCAGCAATATGCGATTCTAAGCAATATTATTGCCATAATTTGGCAAAGTCGCCGTGAGCTCGTATCATTACAGCCTCATTGAAATGAAGAGGGGACAGGAGGGGAGAAATAAGACAAAGAGGAGAGAAACCGTTCTTCGCGGTCTATTCTCGTTCCGGTTTTCGCCGGAATAAAGCCTGTAAACGAGGCGACGATGTACGATCCTCGCGACTCGGAAAATATAGGGAAATGTACGAGGCGTGCAGCGGAATAATACTTGCCAGGAGTCCCTGGGTAAACTAATTAATTCCAGAGGCGAAGAATCCAATCCCGGCGGAAACAAATCATCGTCGAAGTATTAATCCTCTTACGTATCCGCGAGCGAGAAGATATGTGTATGTGTGTGTGTGTATATATTAAGGATATTTTACGTATACGCGAGGTCTCTGGATTAACGTAGAAGGCACACTTTGTGTCACTTATAGATTCTTTCAAATTGATTTATGTTACATATTTTTTTATTAACGTTAACTATATTAACCACAAGTAGAAAGTTTTTATTACGTGTAAGTACATTGCCTACATAGTAGGAAAGACATCGCCATCTTTAAAATTTAATTTCCTTTAGACTCTTAAAAGACTCTGCGTTTATTTTATTTAAAAAAAAATTTGTGACCTGTGAAATTTTGAGGTTTTTGAATCATGGAATTTTTTTTTCAACGAAAAATACAGTATGCTCACCGAAAGAGTTCATCTTATTACATTAAGGGAACAATTCGCGTCGAATGGAAGGGAGAATTATTAGCTCCCCGCGGATTGAGTTGTCGGGATACCAGAAGTAACATCTCTAAAGTTCACTCGTCTCCGGAGTAAGCTAAACCCTTCTTCCGCAGTGCTGCTAGCGAGAGAGCACTTTCGAGAGTCGTTATGCCGTTTGCGACTACGGGAATTCGCACACGTTCCTCGTTTTGTCGCCGAAATCAGCTTGGAGCTCGGCTGCTTCGTTACGAGGCTACTTTGTATCGTCGAGAACATCCGCTCCGACGAATTGATAGTGCCCATAAGACGAACGAGCCCGACCCGGCCTGACAGGAGACATTTCGGTACGGTCAAATCGCAAACTATCTTTGCGCACGTGCTATTTCATATTCTCTCTTCAGATGGCCAGTTTCCATAATATAAAATTCCGGGAAGATATTTTCTGAAAAATTTAACGCTGGAATCTTCTCATTTGTGCGACTTTTGAATTTTTATCATTACGTAACTCGACTCGACGTAACTCGAATTAAAATTTTATTAAAGCATACTCAACGTTAATTATAAAATATTAATTTATTATTTACATTCAACAATATTCATTTTTATAATTTCATCAGAATTCTTCATTTTCATCTCCATTTATGTACGCGATAAAAATTTCAGAAAGGAGAACCGTCGACTGCCGGATTTGTCAAAGGCCACCGAAATATTGCGCGCGCCGTGCAATATTTGCATCATTCTTTTAATTATTCATAATTCTATCGCAAAGAAGCTTTGTAATTTATAAATCTCACTGCCTGCCCAGGCAAGGAAAGCAACGACAACGCAATTGGCAGAATCGGCTCTAATTAGCAATTTCTTTTGATGTCTGGCTCGTTACTACTAGTGGACACGTAATCGCCTGACTATCAAGAGGTACATCTACTACTTTCTTACGTTAATGCTCGTAGCTATAAAAGACTAATGAGCCTCGCGCTCGCGGAAGCGGCTTCATTAATTTTCTTACTAATTAACGGAGGACGCCGATCGAGGGAGGAGCGACGAGGGGGATTTTTGCCGAATGGAATTTCTGTGTTGGCGGAATGCGTCCCCGACGGCAGAAAGTCGGGGATTCTTCGGCTTGTTACCTAACTTGATTATTCTTCTCGAACTCGTGCAGGCTACATTCTGTTCGGAATCAAACGCTTCTAAGAATGAGTCATTAAAACTTGAACAAGTTCGCGGGATCGTCTCAACGAACTTTTGTTCCTCTCGCAATGTGCCGATTTGTAATCTCGTTGTAGAGGAAAATTAGTACACAGCGATCGAAAATAATCGTAATAAATAAACCGCGCTGATGATAACGCCATTCCCTCAGCGCTTCCTTTTTTCGCATTAACCGCAAAAACAAATAAGAAATAATAATTGTATTAACTTGATATTATTTATCTTCTGAATTTATTTATATTTATTGAATTTATTTATTTATTTATATCTATATTTATTTATTTATATTACATTGCTCAGATTTACAACATTAAAATTGCGCAAAATGACTGTTAAATCTTTCAATTCTTGCCAAACTGACTTTATATAATTTTATTATTGCATTTTATGCTTCCGTTTCCGTGCATTATCTTAATCGAGTCTACGATAGCTGAAAGATTCAGCAGTGACACTATGCACTTTTGCTGATCTTGCGAGAAAATACGTCACAAGATAAACGGCGGAACTCGGATAGGAAAGAGCGCATTGTTAAAAATAATAAAAATTCATAGTGGTGTGTGTATCTATGCCGTTTCGAGATATATGGAAAAATATACAATATTTTTCTTCAGCGCGGCGAACTCTGCTAAGAACTCAATATTCCCCGTTCTTTCGAGCCGCACACGTCGTCCATCACTTGTTAGAATATAACACAAAATTGTATAAATTATCGAAAAACCACTCGCAAATATTTGATTTTAATCTGGCAATTGCGGGTAAGATATGCGAGGCAGAAAGAGACGGAGAGAGAGAGAGAGAGAGACGATATAAACACGCGTGGTTTGCGCGACAATTATTACCGTCGTAATTTTATTGAAAAACCATTAATTGAGCGGCAAATAGATCCGGTACGATTCCCGTTTCTACAAATAAGCGTTCGAGCGTTCGTTACGAATCTAATTTGTTTCACATGTAACTGCGTACTTTCCGTTCGCGCGCGCCATACGAGAGCAGTATCGCACTCTATTTCCAATTTCGCCATTTCCATTACGCGGATCTATCGGGTAACTATTAACGACGACGTTCCGTTCGCCCGCGATGCGTTCGCGTACATACACGGACGGACTTTACCTCGGGACCCCGCCGGAGTCCCGGCGGTGGCATGAAAAATTAATGGGATACATCGATGTGCGATTCCGAGCGCAATCCACTTCGTACCTCGTCGCGCTCGAACGACGCCGCGTACTCACTCCGCATTGTCGATCGTCGTGGAAATCGTTTTGGCAAGTCGATCGACTTCCGGCCGGGGTCCTCCGATGACTCGTTAGAGTACCTTCGTGCGATCGTACAAGCAACGGGGAATCGAGGTTTATGCAGATGCGATTATGCAGACAGCGACTCCTCCAGTGCGTTTCCAATTAGCGTAGGATCGAGAGATTGCCAAGTTGTCAAGAGATGAATTTCAACGTATAATCCTCGATCGAAGAAAAAAAAGGAAACGAAATACTCATCGAGTCAAGTGTTACGTCGGTTGAGATCGTTTCAGAAATACGACGAAGTTCGATATTTACGTTCGATTACAAGCCGCCGATCTTACGATGGCATTTAATGATCTCTCGACCGATAATGTCGTGTATATTTTATTTATTTTCTACCGTGAGGTTTATCGAGTTTCCGCGTTATTAAAAAGCATTGTTAGTATGTTATATTCCTTAAGATGTAATAGAAAAAGAGCACAATTTCGTGATAATTTTAATAATGTCGTAAAAGTTGAATGGAAAGCGTAGCCTATAATTTCTATATTATAAAATCCATGTAATTCTATTATTACTCTCATTGAAAAGCGTATAATAGAATTATTTAAAATCAATTAAAAAAGTATTCTTTCTATCTCTTACTTCTTTAAATTTATTCTTTTTAATTTTAAAATGCTTGAAATAATGATCAATCGATACCAATCCACTTGTTACAGAATTTCAATATTAAAACGTACGACATTACTAATAATCCTTATTAACGTTCTTTGAATAATTATCGCTAGCTTCGAATAAAATAAAATGTCTGATAAGAAATGTGCTTCCAGTGATAAAAGAGAGTCTCATTTTTCAGTAATCGAGCATATTCAAAATATTTCGAAATCTGTACTACACAAGTCTGATTTGCATCCGAGTTTTTTACATCACAGCAAGTAGCTTCTAAAGCAATTTACGGCAAGCCTTCTTCGGATTCCCATATCTTCTGGCTCGAGCTGGCAGCTTCCGGAGATTTAATTTAAACTTGTTTGTCTGGCGCATAAGTTTCTTATCGGATGAATCTCGGGCGTGCCGATGAGCCGCCATGCTGCTTATACAATTATGAATATTAATTTTCCGTCCCCGCGACTGCCATCGGGGACGACGTGGAAGAAGAAGAATGTTCGATAGAAACTAAAAATATCTACGGAAATATAAAGTAATTATTCCGATCCTAAGGTAATTATTCCGACCCTAAAGGTTACAAAGAAAAAACGAAAAAAATAGCGATAATCGATTATATATTGGCATTTAAGGGTTGTCTCATAATTATTTATAATTTACTACGTTAATGATAATTTCTAGAAAATATCGTTATGTAAGGTTTTTTTTAAATTTAAAATTTCATTCACTCACAGATGTACAATGACTGAAAAATCACTTTGCAAAGTCGTAATTTCAATTTCGTTTAAAAAATGATTTTGCACAGAGGTAAATAGTTTCTGGGGTATTGAATACGTGAAAGAACACATTGCGCGAAATACTTTCGGTACGTACATGCATATGGCAAGCAATGAATAATTCGGTCTACTCGGCAGTTTTAAATTTTCGGGAATGGGAGTGTGATATCACACGTGAATAACTGCAATCTGTTTGTGCTTGAGCCGCCTCCATTTTCAATCGTCAAATCCGACAGGAATTATTTCGCGCCGATCAATTAAAATGGCCTCCCGGTTGTCCTTTGACGAACTGTCGATGGTCAATTAGTCGATGACAAAATTGAAGGATTTTTCATTTCGTCGTCCGATTTTTTAAAATTTATTTTTACAAAACGCGGTAGAGTCCGGCGAAATCTGATAAGCCAGATGTACGCTATCAGATACTCGCGTACGTTCGGTGAATTGTCGAATGGAAACGCAACACTCGAATCATATTTTTCCAATAATCGCGTTGTCCTACCCTTTTTCACAATATTCTTAATTTTCCGTATTTAAAGCTATCTTAGCGATGTCTGCCGAAGAAATAAAGCTGTGCGTAAAAGTTCAACTTGTAAAAGTCTAATAACAATATTTTTAATATGTTCGCCCTCGCTTAATACGCGCAGATGCATAAAAGCGTAAAGCTTGATAATAATAATTTCAACACATCCACCAGAAGCCGGCGGACAGCTTTCGCGTGTAATTATAGCCAGCGTATATTACTGCCTCGAAAGCAAAGAACTTTTCATTACGACTCCTCTACGCTTCGAAATAATTGCGAGCGGATTATTCGCCCCCCGGGGGTTGATCTTGCGGCCAAAGAAAATCGTTCGAATCGCAATTTTCCCCAGTCTCCCCGCCGTTGTTTCCGAGTTAGAGGAAAATGGAGGTAGCGGGGAGAGGTGTACGTATATTTCCTTTCTACCTCTGTTTTTCATGGAGATTAATCGAACGCTGTCGCGGCCGCGGCATGTTACCCGGCGCCATGCGATTCGTCGCGTTTCGGAGCGATTCCGGAAGTGGCGTTATTAATGACATCGTGGGGTTGATTGCTTTTCGACGGGAGGGTACGAAGCCCCGACGTCCCCGTCTCCCCGATCCCTTCTTTCCCTCCGCCTTCCTCCCTTTGTAATCGATGAAAAATGTTTCAATTTCGTCTCGTCGAGAGTCCGCTTCCATTTTCGGGTTGAGTAAAAAAAAAAAAAGATTCCCAGTCGGACAAATCGGATCACGCGCCGGTTAAATATTCGCTCTGCCCTCTTTCGCGGCGAGAAAATATTGATATCGATACACAGGGGATAGAGGCAGGTGGATACACGCGGAAGGTAGGCGGAGAGAAACAGGAATTGAAAGTATCGCGCAGCGTCGAAATTGACGGGCTTTTACATATTCATAACGCGGATATCTTGTTCCGCGGCTATTCGGAAAATTCGAGACATTCCGCGGAAAAATATTCGGCATTTTTTTTTTTTTCGTATTTGCGGTAATAGCCGGGCGTGCGAGCGAGTGATTCGCAGCCGTTATTTTACGGATGAGTAAAGAGCCTCTGACGCGCGAAAACCACTGTTCCCTTTTGCCACTGTGTAAACCGCGTTTAAAAACGAAATTTCGGAAGTTCGGATATTTTCACGCGGAGACGTTGAGTGGAGAAAACCGTGTTGTACCACGGATCGCGTATACAGGTACTATACACGCGGATAAGGATAAGTATTTATTTTTTCGTCTTAATTAATTTACCGATGTCCTCGCGTTTACTTACGTCTTCTCGCTCTCGGAAATAAGGAAGCCAACGTCCGGCAGTCTGATTAGGCTCGCGTTTCTCGAACAAAAAAAAAAAAAAAAAAAAATTCAACTCCGGCAAAGTGCAAAGTTCGTCGCGACATCGCGCTGCGTCGCACGCAATTAACGTTAATTGGAATGAGCGCACTTACTGTTAAGCTCTATGACGACGGTGGTGGTAGGTGGTGGCGCTAATTGAGTGTTATTCGCTCGGCAGGACAGCTTGGCGTGATGATGCCTCCTCGTGAGAGCTTTCACAGTCACGTTGCTGATGGTTACGACGTTGGTCTCGCCGCCTAGTCCTTGCGTCTCTCGAACCTCGGTAGATGCATGAATGTTTTGTGATTCCAGATACCACGAGACCTGCGGTCTGGGTTTACCTGCACAGGTGAAATAAAACTGTGAAGAGTATTGCTTAAGACGTTTGAGCATAATACTATAAACATTTTTTTTATATTTTAATAATCACAATTTGAGTATTTTAATTATTTTGATGATCGACGAATATTATTTTATTTTAGTCTAAATTTTTAGATATCTCCAAGTTAATTATTATGGATAATATATGCTCTTTAAATAAAAAAATGATTCCGCCACCGTGTAGAAAATTAATAGACAAATTTAGATATATTTTACTAAAACAATTTCTGAACTTCTCTAAGTAGGGAGATAATAATTAATATTATTATTATATATTTATATTTAAGAGTCTTAGAATATGACAAAATCTCTTATTATGATGTTAATTAGGACATTTTACAAGCTCGTTGTAACACCGATCCGGGACTGAAAAAGATCCGAAAGCGGCGAGTCGCAGTTGATGCTGGCAGGACGACGTCTGTCATTACTCCTCCACTAATAAACGAGTCGACAGCAGAGAGGGGGGGGGGGAAAGGAGGAGTAATTCGAGTGGCACGTCCCAAGGGTTACGACGTGGATGTCGCCGTCAATCACATCAGCAAACGGGCCTCATTCGGCCGAAACAACGGCACGGAGATACTCCACGTCTCCCATTCTCGAGAGATCGCTACCTGTGGCTCACCGCCGACGACTGTTACGGCTAATTATGACGAAAGGGAATCTCGAAAATGCGCCCTTACCAAGGTAAATTCGCATCCGGGGATGCTCTAAAAGCGCCGCACATCGTTGGTTTACTACTGACTTAATTAGCAAGATACACTTGTCGACTGTAAGAAAGCTGGTAAACTATTAGATCGAGACATGTAGAATTGTTTGGCGCGAGAGAATATTTGCGAATGGTAATTGTAAAATGGGACCGACAATATAACAATCCGGAATTACATGTTCGGTATAACTTTAAGAGAACATTTCTTTCTTAATAATTATGTAAATAAATATTTTATTGTTTTGTTATATTGAAAAGAGTTGAAAACTTCTATCTCTTTCTTATATTTAAAATTTCAATTTCGCAAGTTTATAATACAGAATCTGAATATGTGAATATAAAAATATTATTTTCTAAAAACATAAAATATTTCTACAGAATTTTTCCCGCGGATAGAAAATTATATTAAATTATTCTGTCACTTTCATGAAAAGTAATTATGAAAAATTTCCAATAATTCATTCACTCCTAAATGTTAATTTTCTTAATTTTTATATAAACATGTAATTTTAAGGAAGCTTGACTTTTAGAGATGTTACATTGAAATAAATATGAGATCGAGAATATGTGACGTTTTAAAATTTTAATCCCAAATGATGTTCTCATCTCCATCTGAAGACGCTTCGTGGCAAACAATACTATTGCATGAACAAATAACGGCATGTACTATTGAGCACTGTTCGGTATTAACGGATACCCATCATCTAATCAACAGTTATTCTAGATGAACCATCTGTCTATCTAGCTCACAGACGGGCTGTCTATTCCGGTTGTCTACATGGATATCTATTCTAATCAAAGACATATCCGATACATCACATATACATCTTGCCGAAAGCCACGATCATTGATATCGATAGTTGGAACGGCAATAATTAGGAGTGGTTATTTGCTCAGTTAGCGCTTGCTATATTAATAATTTGGAGATTGGTAATTACATAGTCAATACTTGATGTATAAAATTTATGTACTTGGTTAACAATATTATTAATTTTCACATTGCGAAAATTTATAAAATTTTCCCAGCTTACATATTTCTTTTCAATTACGAGTTATGTGAACAAAATTAAATAGAAAATACTTATAATTGAATAATTTTCCTTTTATATTATTAAAATTGTAATTAAATTAATTTTAATTAATTCCAAAGGAACCATAAAAGAAATTTAATATGAGACTCGTACAGCAAGTTATTATCAACGTGTGTAACAAAGACTCGCATAATTAAAAATACAATTGTTTTAGATCAAGATGCATTGTATGGAATTGTTATTTGTGTCACATCAAGGATTCGTATTTGTATGTGACGTGGACTGTTGATGCAGTTTATTTTGTGTCTACCTGCAGCGTTAGAACAACTGCAAATGTTTGTCCTCTCGCTGTTCTTAATGCGCGGGTGACACGGATTTGCGTATTTCGCGAGACAAGCTTTACGATAGCATAAAATAGTTAAAGCTTAAAATAATTTATCAAATGCAGATTATGAGTGAGCATAGCAACGAACGGCGGAAGTACGGAAAGAAACAAACAGGTAATCCTATACGCGCGTTATGGCGAAACATGTATTATCTACAATCGCGTTAATTTCCCGAGCACAATGCGCTGAAATCGCATTAATTTCCACGGAGTATACGTTCATTAAACAATAACCAGGAAATGAACAGGCTTCCCGTCGCGAAATCGAAACTACTCAGCAGCGTTCAGGAAGTCCGTCTATGCGAACTGAATGACCCGAGGAAAGCTTTAAATTAATACATGTGACACAGTGATCGCAAAGCAGTACGTAAGTATCGAGATATAAAAACATTTGTATATTTTCCATTAACTATTATATTAAAAATTACTATTTATACGCTATTACAAACTATCACACATTATTATAAGTTACAATTTATCTCTCGTCTATTTAGCAAAATAATAAATGTGCTAATAAAAAATTCACCCAAAGTTCATCCGCGGAGGAAATGACGAGGGAATTTCTGAAAGCGTCGATGAATTTCACAAAGAAATGATTATCTTGTATCGCAGTTAATAATTCAAGGATAATATTATGTGTTTTCGCGACTTCCTGTCGCGACAGCGCTCCCATGTTATCTCGCTGCGAGATAATCCCGTCTCAAAAAGAGGGCGATAATAAGCGTTCATTAAGTCCAACACTATAATTAATTCCGCCATCGAGACCACCGTTTCCATTGTTCCCCGTGGAATAATTTCCTGCTGCTCCGCAGGATACAAATATATCCCGTCGGTAGTATCTCGGAGGGCTTTTCCCCATCCGTTTCCTTGCCTTTCCCAACGAACTCGCTTTTAGAGCGAACCTCACAGTCGTAATATATGAAACACATCGTGTACAATGTGACCGTAAATTCTTTCTCGAGAAGAAATGCCGAAACCGATAGCTTAATGAGCACGTTATTGAAAACTGTGATCGACTCGTGAATAAGGCTTTCAGTTTCTTAAAAGAAATTTTTAATAATTTTTATAAATATGAGCGTATCTAAGGTCTCTTTTTCGGCGGGGGGGTTTTATCAATTCTGTTAATATATAAACAGCAATTTTTTGCGTTAATGAATTACCTTTTTTTGGATATCTCAGCTTAGCTTAGAGTATCTCCTCGTTCCTCGTTCTGAATAAGAAAGATATTAGATTTTGTAAATCATAATTTTAACTTCCTTTTTTTAAATTTCGGGGAGTTTGATTCTCCAAACCCCCCTTAATCCCCTCGTCCTAGATACACGATGTGACTGTTACAATTTTACTTATCTTTACTTTATTTAAATATTTTCGCTGTGAGATGCGTAAATCTAAAAGACCCTTCACATACATCTGACCGCTTAGACCGCATTTATGCGGACCGAATAGTAAAATGGTGCAGGTTATTACGGTTATTACGACTTCTGTCCGGATCGCGCGCATTCAGAAGACCTCGCGTATTAAAAGTCGTCGCGAAAACTAAACTCATTATCGTGTCGTACCTTGTCGCGGTACTGCCGCACCGTATTTTTTTTATAACGTTACGGCATTTTAAACACAGTTACCGCGTAAACGCACCCCCAGGTCCGTCGGCGCGCAGTCGCTTCCGCTCGTTCTCGTCAAGAAACGTAAAACAACGACGCCGAATATATTTGCCCGGATACTTTCACAGTGCGAATATCTGTTTCTCGACCGTTGTCTCACTCGTTTTAACGTGCTTTCAACCCCACCGAGATAACTCTTCCACCGAGCAACTCGCGCGATATCATGAATATATCGCGATGTAGCAAATGGAAGCGAAGATCAGATTGTGAGGATAAACTCGCATTTAGCGCGGAGTTGCATCATCGTTATTACGCGGCGGAAAAAAGGTATCGGGATGTTACAACCAACAAATAATCCTGTAATAAACACTTTAATAAACCGATAGTAAAGTCGATGCGATATTAGATTACGCCCGCTCTGAGCATCTGACTGAACTTTAATCGATAAAATCGTGAATGTACGTTCCAATCGAGTCTCGATTCATCCAACAAATTTTCGAGTTTATCGAATTCCCTCGCAACGTATATAAATTTTTTTTCGCTATTAACATGTGCGAAACGCACGTGCCTTTCGGCATAATCGAGATGCGCGAAATGACCATACGGAATATGAGGAAGAGAATAAAAATGTCGTTTCGAGCGGCGAAACGAGAGAGAGAGAGAGAAAGAGAGAGAGAGAGAGAGAGAGAGAGAGAGAGAGAGAGAGAGAGAGAGAGAGAGAGAGAGAGAGAGAGGAGAATGCTGCGTTATGGCTGCTGGGTCGCGTTAAAACAAACATTTCGCTCCGTGACGCTGTAAAATTGCGTTCGATGCAATGCCGGGGTCGACAATGCAGCAGCTGGACAGCGGCTGTGACGCAAGGGATGGCGGGAACATACTCGTGGAAATACACCGTGTATTGTGTGGTAACAATACGCGGCGGAATGAGCGGCCAGGGCGCGTCGCGGCGCGGCCTCCCTTTTCGAAGAATATACCCGCAGCGAAGCCGGTTTTAAACGCGAGGCCAGCTCGCTCGCTTGCATTTACGTGACGGCAAATGCTCGAAAATACGAGCAGAGCGGGGTCAATTATTTCCAACGGCCGCGGGCGAGCACAAGAGGCGCCGTGATTGGAGAAGAAATCCGAGGCTGAACTTTTACGTGACGATACGCGCGACGGGCTTTCACACGGGAATGAAAGAATCAGTATTTTTTTTACATTGAAAGCATTTTTCCGCGAAGGTTTTATTTACTTAGCG